GCCCGGCCCGCTCGGAGCGCCCGGCCTGCGGGGAGCCAGCAGCCCCTGCACGTGCACGAGCTCCTGGTGCAGCTCGCGGGCACTGCAGCCCAGGCCTGGCGCACTCGCGGCGCTCCCGTGCACAACTTCCAGCGCATGCACCAGGAGCCTGGCCCTGGCCAGCAGCACGGCCACGGCTGTGTGCAGCTTGGCACTGCCCAGTGCCTTCATCCACCAGGGTCCAACGGCCTCTGTGGAGAGACAACAAACGAGAAGAGAAGAGGTGAGTGTGGTGGTGCTTCCTCCTCCAGGCACAGGTGGCTGTGGGGGACAAGGAGACCACACTTCTCTCTCAAGGGCTTCATGCCACCCCGCTCCTCTCCACTGACTTGCCACTCGACCCGTGTCCCTCGCGGGTCCCTGGGACAGGGATGCAGTGCCAGCCATACCTGGGCTCCAGCGGCGCTTGCAGGACTGCAGGTCACGTAGGATGCTGGGGCCCGTGGCCTCCAGCCAGCAGAGAGCCGACTGGCGGAGCGGGCAGGAGACGGACGCCTTGTCGAGGAGCTGCAGCAGGAAGGGGAGCAGCAGCTGCGAGAGGACAGCCGGCTCCGCAAAAACGTTGGGTTCATCCTCCTTAAACAGGCTGCTGGTTCTGGAAAGGAAGGTGAGACACACATGGACCTCCAGGCCATCCGATGTTGCCTGATGCCAGGGGAACCTCAGGCACACGGCACCACGGGCCCCTCTTCCTGACCCTGAAAAGGGCTAGGCCTGATTCTGGACCTTACCCTGGATCCAACTGAGGACACATTCCTGGAGCTGATCCCAGACCCCACTCTGGACCTGATGTCGGAAGTGACCCTGGACCTCATGCCAGACCTTATCCCAGATCCTACTCTGAACTCAACCTGGGACCTTACCCCAGACCTGACATTGGACCTTATCCTGGACCTGACCCCAGGCTCTGATGGCTCTGCCTGCTGCACTGATTCAGTCCCACACACGTGCAGCTTTCCTCTTCTGTACCCTTTTCAAAGATCTGGCAACTCACTTGTTGGCTTCCAGCTCTTCCAAGATGCCTCTGAGATCCAGGAGGGGAAGGTGCTGCAGCAATGAGCCAAAGGTCTCTGGGTGGTCACCAAACTCCTCCAGGAGGAGCTGCAGGAGGCCCAGGAGCCCCGTGTTGGCCTGCAGAGAGATGCAGCCCTCTTGGACCTGCTCTCCCGGGAGCTGGCACACCAGGCTGGCAAAGTTGGAGGCCTCATGCCGGACTTCCTGCTCCTCATCTTGCAGAAGGTGGATACCCACATTGACCAGCCTAGAGGAGGGGAAGTGAGTTCCACTTTACAAGCAGCACATGGTGCAATCCCGTGTGCTCCCAGCCTGTCCAGCTCAGCGTCAAGGAGGTACAAGGGGCGCTGTGCACGGCAGCACCTCAGTGAGGATTATTTTTGCGCTGCTGGATGAGACCATTGTGGAAGGCATCCTTGCTGCCAAGAGCTTTTGGTCTGAAAGGGCAGGGGCACAATAAAGCCTGAAGGACAGCAGTGCTCTTTATTGCTCAGTAGACACTGATCTCTTTTAGTCAGCCCTTAGCGCAGTTGCTGTGTTATGTGTCTGCTGAGCAAGCACTGCTTGGGAAGGGGCTCTGTCAGTGATGCTGCCGCGAGCCTCGGCCATTCGCACGCGCTTGGCTACCTACCGCAGGGCCACGGGCACGAGGGAGGGGCCGGCGGGCCCCACGCCCGC